GAGCTACAAATGGTTTGAGCCACCATGTAGGTGCTGGGAACCACACCCAAGACCTCTGCATAAGGAGCAAATGCTTCTAACTACTGAGCCATCTCTCTAGCCACTGTAATGCCAGTTAGAAAAAGACATTACAGAGCTTGTAGCCAGGGTGTAGCTCACTTGGTAAAGGACTTATCTAGCATGTAAGAAGCCCTGCATTTGTCCCCAACACCTCATAAACTGAGCACATGTGATATGCCTGGGGTCCCAGCACTTGGGAGGTGGAGGCAGTTATGCCAGCCTTAGCTACAGAGGATTCTCCCTCCCTCCCCTCCTTCCCTCCCTCCCTCTCTCTGACACACACACACACACACACACACACACACACACACACACACACACACACACACACACACACACGCACACACGCACACACCCACACACACACAACCACACACATTTTACTCCTCTATCAGAGTGGAAACAGGAGGATTGCTGGGACTTGATGGTGACCAGCCTAGCTCCAGATTCAGTGAAAGCTCCTGTCTCAAGGAAATTAGCCAGAGTGACAGAGTAGAACAGCCAACATCCTCTTGTGGCTCCTGAGCATGGGCACATACTGTGTGTCCAACACACACACACACACACACACACACACACACACACACACACACACACACACACACACACGCACGCGTGCGCGCACCCCAAAACACTGAAGTTAAAGTGCTAAAATTACATTTAATTCAGGGGGCAGAGATCTGAAGATAGAACCAGCTTAATTGGGTACACAATATGGACTATGCTGTCAAGGAGCTGGGGATGGGGCAGGCATCAATAGATGGAAAAATTACTAAGAATGGGGATTCTGGTTAAGAAGACCAATGGCAGTGCTTGTAGTGATGAGTTAGCAGTCACTTTGGGGGTGATGAAGAGCTTCATGAGATACTGAAAGTGGGGCTTCTGGATAAATAAACTGACTGGACAAGGTTTTTGCTACAACTGAACTGTGCAAAGATAGCACAGAAGTGCAGAGGTCAAGACAGAGTGGAGAGGAATCTTTCAGAGGGACCCCAGGGCATTCCTCTGTCTTCAGGCAAGATAGCCCACCTCTGCCTGTTCCTTTCTGCTTCTTTTCAGGGTCCTGGAATTGGTCCAATCCTCTCTGGTGGGCCCTCTGGTCACCTTCATTTATACACAGCAAGAAAAGAGCTGCCCGGCCTCCTTTCTACTTCCCTAACCACTCCTAGGCCCAGTGGCAGCTCACTCCCAGCATGTCTTGCAGGGCAGCAGGGGGCAGATGTGGACATCATAGGGAGGGCTGGGGCAGGAAGCAGGGTTCCATCTGAAGGGAAGATGGAGGCCCTGCTTCTCATAATGGTGTCAAAGGACCACATTGTAGACCTGGGACACTCGGGGTCCTAAAGTGGGGGATCTGGTTATTGCTGCACTGTTTTATCTTCACAGCATACTTTGTCCATCAAGGTCGTCTCAACAGCTTTGTGTGTATTTGTGCATATACAGGTGCACCCATGCACGTGTGTGAATGCCTATGTGGAGGCCAGAGGCAGATGGTAAGTGTTTCCTTGCTCACGCTCCCCCTTAGTTTTTGAGGCAGGGTCTCTCACAGAATTTAGAGCTCACTTATTCAGCTGGACTGGCTAGCCACTGAGTTCCAGAGATCCTCTTGTCTTCCTCATCTCCCTCTTATCTGTTTCTTAGGAGACAATCCAGAGTTTGCTGGTTTGTCTAGACTGGATGCCAGAAAGCCCCAGGGACCCTCTTGTCTTCCTTTTCCCTGAGCTGGAATTATATGCACCTGACACCAGGCCTGACTTTTCTGTGGGTGCTGAGGATCTGAACTCAGGTCCTCATGCTTGTGTGGCAGGGATTTTGTCCACTTGGCCCAAGCAGCACCTCAACAGCTTTTAGACGTCTTCCTGCTGCTTCCCCAGGACTCCCATATCATACCCCTACCATCCTGGAAAACCATGACTTCTCTGCTGTCCAGCCTGTCGGGGCTCCCTGAATCACCCCAAGTTCCCACTTCAGGCTTTCACCCAGAGCGTACTGTGTCCCATTCTCTGCCTCCGTTCAGGCTTGAGTGAGCACCACCTGTGCCGGAGAGGCATGGGGACCCACTTGACTCTTCTTTCTCTCAGCTCTTTGCATGGGGGTTCGGAGAGGGGGCTCATAAAGGAGGGGACTCATAGTCACAGCTTTTGGATTCACTTGATTCCCTGAAAGGGGGGGGCCGTGTGACCTTTACTGCTTTGTGACAGTCCTCTCCAACACTTTATGTCTGTTGGTGACAGTGGGCAGGAGCTTAACCCAGGATGGAGGGACAGCAGTTTTCCAGTGGCGGTATCCCTCCCCCCCAACTATAGTGTATTTTGTATGTGTGCATGTGTGCATGTCCCTGTGAAGGTCAGAGGGAAACCTTGGGTGTCTTTCCTCAGGAGCCATCACTTTATTTAATTTTAAAATTCAAAAGATTTTAGTATCTTTAATTGTGTGTGTCTCCGTCTGTCTGTCTGTCTGTCTGTGTTACCCTGGAGCTGGAGTTATAGGTGGTTGTAAGCCACATGGTGTGGGTTCTGGGAATGAACTCTAGTCTTCTGGAAGAGCAGTACAGTCCTTAATCACCAAGCCATCTCTCCTGCCCCTGCTGTATTTTTTGAGGCAGGGTCTCTCATTGGGACCTGGGTATCACTGCTCAGGCTAGGCTGGCTGGCCAGTGTGCCCCAGGGATTCTCCTATCTCCACTTCTCTGGCACGAGGAGTATAAGCATGCACCACTGTGCCCGGCTTTGTACGTGGGTGTTTAGGATGAAGCTTGACCAACTGGGCCATCTCCCCAGCCCCACATCTGTGTTTCTTGCTTCTGTTCTCTTGCACAGGCCTGAGCAGGTCTAGTCCCCAGGCAGGCTGCCAATCATCTTTCTCCTCTAGCTCAGTATGTATCTGGTGGCAGTTGGACCAGTCTATGATATGGGTGGGCTCAATCTCCTTTCTTCTTCTACAGAAACCCATCACCTGCTTTTGTTTCCTGTCAAGACTGGCTCATCCCCGCTTCCTTGGGTTCTAGCCTGTTTGGTATCCTGCAGGGAGGCAAGCCTTGGGAATATGTATATTCCAGCTTGTGTCAAAAGTGGCACTGGACAGGTAGATGGTAGGTAGCACACCTGGAATCCCAGCATTGGGAGCAGGAGGATCTCAAGGTCAAGGCTAATCTGGACTACATGATCTACCTACTTTTTCTGTTGCCGTGGTGAATCACTCTTACCAAGGATCTTAGAAGGAGAGGGTTTATTTTGATCCATCACCAAGGGAAGGTGCTCAAGGCAGGAACTAAAGAAGGAACCATGGAGGAATACGGCTTACTGGCTTGCTCAGCTACCTTTTCTACACAGTTCAGGCCCACCTGCCTAGGGGTGGCACCAACCACAGTGGGCTGACCCCCCTCCATCAATTGGCAATCAGGAAAATGCAGAGACATGCCCACAGGCCAATCTGATGGTGGCAAGTCCTCAACTGAGAGTTCTTTTCCCGAGTGTCTCAACTTGACAACCACCAACATTAGCCATCACACTATCTAAAGAGTCAAACAAACAAAACAAAAAAAGTGGTTATCAACACACACACACACACACACACACACACACTCCCCTGACAGTGTGATGTAGCCAAGATCTTTCACTAGAGTCTGTGCCAGGCTGTTTGAACTTCCAGTCTCCAAACTGTGAGCTAAATACACCTGTTCTCTTTACTCCCTTTCCCTCCAAATAAAAAAGTGACCTCAAATTCCATTCCAATTCCAACCATCCATTGTAGGGAATACTAACATCTTATCTGTTTTGTTTTGCTTTTGAAGGAGCTAGGGATGGAATCTGAGTCTTGAACAAGCTGGAAAATTACTGGTTCAGATCCCCACATCCTCACTAGTGGTTTCTAGGTACTTGCTCTACCATTGAGCCACATCCCAACCCCTCACTGGGGAATTCTATGCCGGCCCAGTACTGATAAGCTACCTTCCAGTTTTTAATGTTTTTGGAGCTGGGTCTTACTAGTTGCTCAGATTGGCCTTGAACTCCCATTTGTAGCTTCCAACTTGAGATCCTCCAGAGTATCTGAGATTTCAGGATGGCACCACCATGCCTGACTGCATAACTCTTACAATACATGGCCCCCATTTGAAGATCTGTTTCCCCTTTGCTCCCCACCCACTTGACAACAAAGCCAGAGAACACATGGCAGGAATATTCATGCCCATCACCTGCTTCTGGTGTTCCATAGGGTGAGATTGGCTCCTCTTCCCTTCCTTGGATTTCTAGCTTGTCAGGTATCCTGCAAGGAGGAAGGTGATTTGCTAGATAATATGTCCTTGTTTAAAAAAAAAATCAGGATGTGCAAGAATGTCATCATGGAGATATCTCACGTGCACACATGGGAACACACATCCTAGTGAAAACAAGAGACAAGGACCCTCCTTCCATGTGTGCCTGCATATGTGTAGGCAAAGAGGGGCAAGGTTTTGGTTCCTAAAGAACCCACAGGTAGAGAGGCAGCCAGAGAGCCAGCCAGGTCCAGGCTACGTGGTCTATCAAGAAAAGCAGAGTTTCACAAACTTCTTCTCAGTGTAAGAGGGGAGGGTGGAGGTCAGAGGCTAGAACCTGGTACCTAGGGCACTCAGCTCCAGACTTAGGTGGCCAGTAGGCTCAGGGGCCAGGGACTTGAGAAAATAAATGGTTCATGTAGGGCAGCAGAACTCTGGTCAGAATAGCCATGAATATTCATGGGACTGTCAAGGTTCAACTTGTCTGAGGCTACTGCAAGGCCATTACCCAGTGTCCCGCCAGGCCTGGGATGACAGGTTAGGGGGCTGAAGAGCAGGATTCTAGCAACATTTTGTACATTTGACAGCTATAGCCACAGGACCCCGCCCCCCAATGCCTTGAATAGGCTGACCCTCTGCTTGCCACACCCATGTCAGCACTGACCCTGCACGCAAAAGTTACGCCAGAAGGCAGTTTGGTGGAGCTGTGGATCATCGAAGAGGGATCAACTTCCTGACCACACCCTTGCCCACGTCAGGGTCAGACACCCACTGCTGCCTATATCCATAAGGAGTCACCACCCTCCTCCACCATCGTGAGATCCAGGGAGGGTCCTGTAGACCTGGTGCAGGCTCCGTACACGTCCTGACACGCACCGCGGTAGACCGAGGCCGTGGTCTGAACGGAAGGGATGCTCGCCGGGGCTTGACGTCGTGGGCATATCCAAGGGTGGGCAGGGGTCTCTTGCAGCGGAGAGGAGCAGGTAGTAGTCCAGGGATGCTCACCATGGGTAGTTAGGAGCATCCTCCACGCACACGGGGGTGGGACGCGGCAGCCCCCCCTGCCTGCCCCAAAGCTCCAAGACGCCCCATGACCGGAAGTGCCCCCCCCGTGGGCGCGGACA